CCCTGAACCCTAAACCCTAAACCCTAAACCACCCCAAACCCTAAACCCTAAACCCCACCGTCCTCAGGAGCATCTCGTGCGACACCCCTGCCGCTTCGAGGCGCAGCGCAAGCAAATTCGGGGTCAGCCGCAGCCTCGAAACTCTGCTGCTTGCTTGGAGGGGTTAGGGGGGTTAGGGGGGTTTAGGGTTTAGGGTTTAGGGTTTCGGGTTTAGGGTTTAGGATGTGGGGTTCAGGGCCTTCAAGCAGCCCAAAGCAGGTTTTGGGGTTTCGGGTTTAGGATTTGCGGTTTTGGGTCGAGAGTCTTCTAGAGTTACGGGTCTTGGCCAGAGGGCACAGAAGAAGTTAGACCCCTAAACCCTAAACCCTAAACCCTAAACCCTAAACCCTAAGCCCTAAGCCCTAAACCCTAAACCAGTCCGCCGTTTGAAGAGAGTAAGCCTGCTGGGGGGTTTAGGGTTTAGGACTTACAAGCCTTAGGGCCCTAGGTTCTTCTCTGGAAGGCACGTGAACCCGCAACCAAAAGTTGATCCGTCTTCGCCCTTGTTCTGCAACGTTTCCGCACATCCGAACCTTAAGCCCGACTGGGGCATGCACCAACCGCTTTCGGTTTGCTCGGCCTGCCGCTCAAGGACTTGCAAGAAGACTCTTCTTTGCGACTGTGACTGACACAAACCGATGGGGTGGTTACCGCAATTTCTAAATACTGTCCGGGCTTTCGGCAAGGTCGATGAATCGATGAGTGAAGCAAATTTTCAGAAAGCTCCCGAGTTTGCGGACGTCACCCGTCCTCCACAACGATGGTGACATCCCGCCCAACCACCTGGTTGAGGTTTTCTGGCTGGTTCTTAGTAGGGAATAAGGGACTAGATATAATCCCTTAAAGGGTATGGGTTTTGCCTCGGTCTTGGGCTCGTAGGCTGCATGAAAATGGAGGGGGGGGGGGGGAGGGTGTTCTCTTCTTCTCCCTTAGCTTCCCCGGCTTTGCGGGTCTAGGCATGTCGCTTCCCCTGGACAAGGAAAGCAGTGCCCCGCCATCTCCTGCACAAAGGTTTTCATGAGCTCGCGCAGCTGTATCACCTGCAGCCAGGGCCGTTCTCGCAAGGCCAAAGAACCCTCGTGATGACATTCCCTCGTACCGGCGCCTGAACCTGAAATTAATTCGGTGCGTAGCACCATGAGACCAAGAAAACTAGCAACGCTGAATCCTAAATCCATTGTCAAGGGTGGATAACTCACAGAGGTTGGTCAAAATGCGCCGCACCCGAATGTGGACGGTCCTGGAGCGAATGTACACATCAATACCCATCGGCTAAATGCGAAACCCCAAGGCGAGCGCTGCACGTCGGAGTCGATGCGTCAGGCGTCAGGGCTCAAAACTCACGATTGCCGGTCGGACGCTGCTGTTGTAGACATTCTTTCCAACAACTTGGACGCCTGTTTTTGTTCAAACCCTAAACCCTAAACCCCAAACCCTAAACCCCAAACCCCAAACCCTAAAGCCCTGATTCCCGAACACCAGAAAAAAAGCGCAACGGACAAAGCCCTGAACCCTGGTTCTCGCCTCTCTCGCCGCCGATGGCTCCTCCAGATCGTCGGGGCCATACTCCTGCGAGCTTCGCGCCTGGCCACCGCGGCTTCATAGGGTTTAAGGTTTAGGGTCTAGGGTTTAGGGTTTAGGGCACAAGAGTATGTAACCCAAGGTTCCCTAATACTCCCTGCTACTCCCGAGGGCTCCCTTAGCTTCCTCAAGATTCCTTAGGTACCGACCCCCCTTGAACCCCCCTCCCTCAAGAACCCTTTAACGGCTTTTTTGGTTCAAGGGCTTTGGGGCTTAGTGGGTTTATAGGGTTTCGGGCTATTTTTTTTGCGCCCGCGTTGCGCGTAATCGACCCCCCCCCCCCCCCCCTCCATGGTATCCCCCCCCCCCACGGCATCCCCCCCCAAACCCTGCCTGTTAAGCCTAAAAACACCACGGACCACGGGGGAGGACAGAGAAACCTCAGCCTAAACTCCAGACCCTGAACCCTCAGCCCTGAAACCTAAACCCACCAATGAACGACAGGAGGGAGAAGGGTAAACCCGAAACCTTAGCCGCTTTAACCCTGAACCCTGAAGCGTAAACTCAGCACGAACCACAGGGGGGAGAGGGGAAACCGTAAACCTACCACTACCCCAAACCTTGAACCCTGATTAAACTCTAAACCCACAATGAACCCATGGACCAGAGTGAAAATCCTGAACTCTACAGCCTAACCCTAAACCCCTAAACCACAAACCCATGAACCACGGACCATGAACCACAGGGGGGGGGGGGGGGGGGGGGGGGGATCCCAAAACCCACCATGAACCACAGGGGGGGGGATAACATGGGGGGGGAGAGGGGGGGGGGTGCGCCTATGCTGGCGCATATAGGCTTAGGGTGGGTTTACGGTTATTGGTTTAGGGTTTAGAGTTGTAAGGTTTAAGGTTTCGGCTTTAGGGCTTTAGGGCTGTAGGGCTTAGAGCCTTGTGTGCTGCATGGGGTTCGCTTGGGGTGCAAGTGCCGAAGATGGCTCATGATGGCACCCCCAAGTCTCCTAAACCGTAAAGGGTTTAGGGTTTAGGGTTTAGGGTTTAGGGCTCAGGGTTTAGGGTTTCGGATTTAAGGTTTAGGGTTTAAGACACTTAAGCCCCCAAAATGACCTTAAACCCTAAAATCGAAGTAACCCTGAAGAACCTGCAACAAAACCGTAAAGCCTGTCAAGCTGCGCAAGCCCCTAAACGGCCCTCAACCATGCACGACCCTAAACCTTTCACCCTAAACCCTAAACACTAAACCCGAAGCCCTAAACCCTAAACCCTAAAACCCAAACCGGATGGCTGGGACCCGCCTCGGAGGGCCCCGAGAGCCTGGCGAGCCAGGGACTGCGGGGAAGCTGGGGAAAAAGGGGTTTAGGGTTTAGGGCTTCGGGTTTAGGGTTTGGGGTTTAGGGTTTGGGGTTTAGGGCTTAGGGTTTGGGATTTGGGGTTTAGGGATTGGGGTTTAGGGTTTAGGGCTTAGGATTTGGGATTTGGGATTTGGGATTTGGGGTTTGGGGTTTGGGGTTTGGGGTTTAGGGATTGGGGTTTAGGGCTTAGGGTTTAGGGTTTGGGGTTTAGGGTTTAGGATTTGGGATTTGGCATTGGGGTTTTTGGTTTGGGGTCTAGAAAAAATTACAAAGGGGCTAGAGCTTGGGGAAAAAAAAGGTTTGGGACGGTTTGGGGTTTGGGGGTTTAGATGGTTTGAGTTTTTTGGGGCTCAGTTTGTTTTGTTTGGTTACTTTTCTCCTGTGGTTGGCATCGGGTTGAGGTGTGAGGTTTGGGTTTAGGGTTTAGGGTTTAGGGTTTAGGGTTTAGGGTTTAGGGTTTAGGGTTTAGGGTTTAGGGTTTAGGGTTTAGGGTTTAGGGTTTAGGGTTTAGGGTTTAGGGTTTAGGGTTTAGGGCTTAGGGTTTAGGGTTTAGGGTTTAGGGTGTAGGGTGTAGGGTGTAGGGTTTAGGGTATAGTTCCGGGCCCCGTACAACCCGAAACCCTTCAGGTTGAGGGGAAGCTCCGGTCCCATACAAGTCCGGCATCTGCATCCCTGAAGCCATGAGGACCCCTCAAGCCCTAAACCCTAAACCCTAAACCTAAACTCTAAACCCTAGCCCTAAATTAACCAAGCTCCGGTCCCATACAAGTCCGGCATCTGCATCCCTGAAGCCATGAGGACCCCTCAAGCCCTAAACCCTAAACCCTAAACCTAAACTCTAAACCCTAGCCCTAAATTAACCCTAAACCCCAACAAAGCCTAAAGCCCAACGAAGAGCCCAGGGACGCGACCCCCTAACCCCAACCCCCCCCCCCCCCCCCCCCCCCCCCTCCCCCCCGAAAGGCCAGGAAGAAAAAACTAACTCGCAAGCCCTAAGCCCTAAGAAGCCCGAAGCCCCAAACCCTAAACCCTAAACCCTAAACCCTAAACCCTTAACCCTAAACCCTAAAAGCCCAACCCAGAACATCAGAAAAGTAAGGTGCCTGGGGCCCTCTGTGAAGCCTGGCACCTGGGCCGGGAGTCAAAAGAGTTTGGGGGGGTCGCATTTGGGGTTTAGGGTTTAGGGTTTGGGGTTTAGGGTTTAGGGTTTAGGGTTTGGGGTTTAGGGTTCACCGGCGGCTGCCAGCATGACTATATGCGTTGAGGTTTGGGGTTTTGCAGATTTTTGGGGGTGACCATTGACTCCAAATCCCAAAACCCTAAACCCCAAACTCCAAACCCTAAACCCTAAACTCTAAACCCTAAACTTGGGAGCTCGGGCAGGGTCAGTGGAGAATAGGGCCTCGTGCAAGGAGAGGTCATGTCACGAAGAGATGGAGGCAGCATGGGAACGGGGCCTGAACCCTAAACCCTAAACCCGAAACCCTAAACCCTAAACCCTAAGCCCTGTCTGTGCTGGTCTCGGGCTGTACCTGTGCCGGACCCCCTGTTGCCCCTGTTGCCCCTGTTGCCCCTGTTGCCCCTGTTGCCCGGTTCCTCGTGTTCACGGCTCCTTCCTACCCGTTCCTGGCACTGTGGTTTAGGGTTTAGGGTTAGGGTTGTCCAAGCGTATGGCTGACAAACAAAATGTTTAGGGTTTGAGGTTCGGTAGTGGTGGTCAGTTGATTTGCTCCCCAGTAGCTCGCTGTACTTGTGAAAAATGCCATGAGCCTGCTGGGCTCCTTCTACGAAAGCAGAAGCCAGAGACCATCTACGAGTACAACCCCTACCGTCAGCCCCTCAACCCTCAGCGAGCCCTGCCAGTAGAGAATGTAGGACTGACAGACTTGAGGATGCAACTCGATGCTGGTCACACGACAACCGTTGCCGGCGCAGCAATTGCCAGCACAAGCGATCAAATGGCAGAAGCCACGGCCGTCTGCAAGGATCTTTGTAACCCCAGACGTTAACATGGCCCTCGGTAGTGCGCGTCAGAGCCGCCAATGAGTCAAGGCCGTTGTCGCTTGCAAGGTCATTGTCCCACTCCGGCCTCCAGCAGCAAGCTCACGACTTCACCGTGGCCCTCGGCAGATGCCAGCATCCGAGCCAGCGAGCCATCATCCTGGCCCGCTCCGGCCTCCAGCAGCAAGCGTACGACCTGAACATGACCAAGGGCAGAGGAGTACGCCAGAGCCGTCCTGTTCGTGCTGTTGGCAAGGTCCTTGTTCGCTCCGGCCGCTAGCAGCAGGCGTACGACCTCAACATGGCCCCGGGCAGAGGCCTCCATCAGAGCCGTCCTACCAGTGCTGGCGCTGGCGGCAAAGTCCTTGTCCGCCCCGGCCTCTAGCAGCAAGCGTACGACGTCAGCATGGCCCTGGTCAGATGCCAACATCAGAGCCGTCATGCCATTGTTGGTGGCATTGTCCTTGCTCGCTCCGGCCTCCAGCAGCAAGCGTACGACTTCAGCAGAGCCCGCGGCAGAGGCCATCATCAAAGCTGTCGCCCCATTGCTGCGGGCAAGATCCTTGTCCGCTCCGGCCTCTAGCAGCAAGCGTACGACTTCCACACGGCCGCCAGAAGCGGCTTTGCTAAGTGGCCTGGAGCCATCCTTGTCGGCCAGATTTGGGTCTTGCGGACGTTGGAGGAGAATCTCCACCTGCGGTTGTTCTCTCATTGCCCTGGTAGAGCCCTAGGTATGCCTTCTTGTCCCTTATTACTAGTTGTCTGGCAACGACTCATGGAATTATGTGAAGGAAACGGTAGAGAATTACGCAGATCTGCGGAGTTGACCTGTTTGACAAAGCAAGCCTCCTCCACAGACTCGCACGCGGCTGCCACGGCAAGCTGGTCCACCTGTGACTGGCTAGCTGGAGAGAAGTCGAGGAACACAACTTGCAGATCCATGGGCCCCGCCAACTTGGTAGAGTCATCCAAGCTTGCGCCATCAAGAAGAAGCCTTTGTCTGAATCGCGGGGGCGCGCCCTTCTGCTGATGCAGAGTCTGCTTCAGCGACCTCACATCGCTTAGGTCCTCCACGGGCACCTTGGCAAACTCTTCCCCTGACAGCAGTCTGATGCGTAACATTGTCGCCCAGGGCACGCGGAGGCAAGCCAATGTATCACTACGTCTCGGAACGCAATTGAGCTGTGACCTGCGACAAGCCCGACAAGCCCACGAGATTTCGGATAACGATAAAAACCCCAAGACTGACAGCACACGTCGTCTACCAATTGCTGAAGAACCCCGAAAGAATAAAAATATGCTTCCTTATTCAGGGTAATCTAGGGTTTATTGTTTATATTATTCTTTTGGGGTTCTTAAGCAAATAGTAGTAGTGCAAAGGTAAGCCGAAGCCAGCCCGAAAGAGTTGAACCCTAAACCCTAAACCCTAAACCCTAAACCCTAAACCCTAAACCCTAAACCCTAAACCCTAAACCCTAAACCCTAAACCCTAAACCCTAAACCCTAAACCCTAAACCCTAAACCCTAAACCCTAAACCCTAAACCCTAAACCCTAAACCCTAAACCCTAAACCCTAAACCCTAAACCCTAAACCCTAAACCCTAAACCCGAACCTGCAAACCTATCGGCTTGGGGTCAGGGCTCAAGGCTGTGAGGTTCTTCACCAGGCTGCTGCCAAACCCTGGACCCTGAGCACAATGCTCCTGCAACCCGGGAGCCCTAAACCCTAAACCCTAAACCCTAAACCCTAAACCCTAAACCCTAAACCCTAAACCCTCTATGATTCTAGGCCCCTATCAAAACATCTGAGTGCGCCACGTTCTCTGCAGTGTCCCAATCACTGAAGACCACCTGGTTCTAAACAGCGGGAGTGCAGGGGAGCACCCTAAGCTCTAAAAAAACCCTAAACCCTAAACCCTAAACCCTAAACCCTAAAGGGTTCAGAGTTGGCTTTGGAGTCGCTGGGCTCAGACGCTACATTCTGGAATCTGGTGGTCACCTGGGGGGGAGCAACCGGGGGCGCGGCGAGGTCTGCATACTTGCCGCCTGCCTCCGGTCCTGGCATGGACTGTCAAGGGGGTTTGGGATGGTTTAGGGTTTCTGAGTCTTGGGTTTAGGGTTTAGGGGTTAGGGTTATGGTTTAGGGTTTAGGGGTTTCTGAGTTACCGGGGCCCTGGGGTTTCCTAGAAGAAATGAGGGTGTCATTCCTTTGTTTAAAGGGGGTTCAGAAGGGAACAATCGCAGACCGCAAACAGTGAGGGACCATGTGAGCGGGCCAGGTGCTTCCTCCTTGCGTGCCACGCGCCTTCATCGACCTAGCCCCTGGTGCCCTACACGTTGGGGAAGCCCTTAAAGTTGACACATGGGTTTATGGAAACCAAAACGGAACAAGGGGCCCACTTGGGACCTGGGGGTCGAAGTGTACCACAGAATTGGGTTCCCCAAGGTCAGATGCGAAATCTTCAGTACCCTAAACCCTAAACCCTAAACCCTAAACCCTAAACCATGTCGCTCAGGTGCCTTTGCCGGGACTGCAGCAGCAAACGCTGGAGGGCCTCACTCACAACATTCAAAAGTAGTCACATGGGCTGTTCGAACTTGGGGTCGAGGCTCCTATTGATATACGAGTTAGGATAAAGACCCTAAACCCTAAACCCTAAACCCTAAACCCTAAACCCTAAACCCTACAGAAAGGACTGTTGTGAGGCGGAGTTGTTGGGTAGTTTTCAGTCATTTAATAAGGTCTAGGGGTTAGTAAACGCTTACAACTTTAAACTTATGGCCTCACAACAGTCCATTCGTAAGTGGGAATCTTGACCATGATGTTTGGCATACATGATTTGGGGGGGGGGGGGGGGGGGGGGGGGGGGGGGGGGGGGTCCTTGGAAGTTGGCCCATCTTGGCAGGAGTCCCACCCCCCTCCCCCCCCCCCCCCTCAAGCGTAACAGCCGTAGCTGTGCCACAGTTGGTTTGCTTTCACGTATTTCCAGACCTGTTATTCGGAAGTTCCCTGTTTCGAAACGCAGCCTTTGTTTCGAAACACAGCCCCTGTTTCGACACATGGATGTCACAGCCACAACTGCTTCACAAAACGATATCCAATCTCACCTTGGTTCCAGCGCTATATCTGAAGGTTGCGATGTCACATGTGCGAGTAAAAGGATATCTGCTCATAGTATTCTCGCGTCCCAGGGGCCTACAGGACATGTCTTGATGATGTGGGTGCTAATAATGTAGGGTTATAAGGTTAAAAATCTATAGAGTTTAGCGTTATGACCCTAAACCCTATATGCTTTAAGGCTTAAGGAAAACAGTAAAGTGGTTAAATCACTGAGGGTCTAGGGTTACGTTTTTGCAATGCCCTAACCTTAGACTCTAAACCTTTAACCTCTTATAGGGTTTAAACCCTAAAGGGCTAACCCGGTAGGGTAGATAAACCCTGACCCGAAAGGGGCCCTATAGGGTTTAAGGCTTAACTTAGTTTGAATGCCCAAACTTAAATTTAAATCCCCAGGCCTTAAACCTCTGAAAACCTTATAGGGCTTAAAGGCTTTAATGCCTAAACCTGATGTATTTAAGGTCTGGGCATTTATACATTCAGCATTAGAACCCTAAACCCTTTATGCTGTAAGGCTTAAGGAAAACAGTAGGATTTAAGCCTCAAGGCCTATAATATAAGGTTATAAGGTTCTAATCCTATAGAGTTTAGCGTTATAACCCTAAAGCCTATATGCTTTAATTAAGGCTTAAGGAAAACAGTAAAATGATTAAATCCCTGAGGGTCTAAGGTTACGTTTTTGCAATGCCCTAAACCTTAAACTCTAAACCTTTAGCCTCTTATAGGGTTTAAACCCTATAGGGCTGCACTATAGGTTTTAAGGTTTAACCTAGGTTGAATGTCCAAACCTGGATTTAATTCAACCTTTAAAAGCCTTATAAGGCTTAAAGGTTTTAATTAATGTCTAAACCTGATGCACCTAAGGTCAGGGCATTTATACCGTCGGCGTTATAACCCTAAACCCTCGTACATCTGCTTTGCACTCGCAACAAAATCAACTTCATCCAAAACACTGCATCACATTCAAAAAAAATCCGCCTCACAACAGTCCCCTCTCAAACCCTAAACCCTAAACCCTAAACCCTAAACCCTAAACCCTAAACCCTAAACCCTAAACCCTAATTTAGCGACCCTCTGCCACAACACAGGCGATCCGAGTGAACAAGCATGCAGGGCAGCCCATTGCACAAGTCTGACACGGTCACTTCCGTCTTGCTCTAAAGCAGCCGCCTATTCTTCTGGCACTCCTGGCCTATAAACTTAAGCCTGTAGTCCCTACATCTTTCAGGGTCGTCCGAAGCTTCCCCTGATAAGAGTAGCCACGCCCCCCTCCCTTTCAGCATTGGGCCCGAAACCCCAAACCCCAAACCCTAAACCCTAAACCCTAAACCCTAAACCCTAAATCCTAAACCCTAAACCCTAAACCCTAAACCCTAAACCCTAAAGGGGGTGGGGGAGGTGGTCGGTCCGGGAGCCAACTTCTCGCCTGACCCGAAGACGAAACGGGAAAAGTCCAAGGGCCGGGCAGAAAGACTCCTGCACCGCTGTAGGGTTTAGGGTTTAGGGTTTAGGGTTTAGGGTTTAGGGTTTAGGGTTTAGGGTTAGGGTTTAGCTCAGAATTTGGGGGTTTCAGAGTGCCAGGGATTCAGGGTTTGGGGTTGAGGGTTTAGAGGTTGAGAGCTTTGGGTCCTTTAGGGCTCAGCAGCGTGCAGCACCAAGGAGAACTTAGCTGAAAAAAGGTTGGAACCAACGGAGAGGGAGTTTAGGGTTTAGGATTTCGGGTTTAGGGTTGAGGGTCTAGATCGGCTGGTCCTTCCAGCTGCAGCGAGGCCCACGCCAGTGCCTGGAACGGATCCACAACATGCACGTCGAAGGGCTGAAATGTTAAACCCTAAACCCTAAACCCTACACCCTAAACCCTAAACCCTAAACCCTCATTAGCTGTTGGGTTTCATTGCGAGGGTATATGGGGTCTTGGGTCCCGTGTGGGGGCACCGGTACCATGAGCCAACATGAGTTTGCCTTCCGGACCTACTAAACCCTAAACCCTGCACCCAAAACCCAAAACCCAAAACCCTAAACCGAAAACCCTAAACCCTAAACCCTAAGCCCTAAACTGAACCAGGAAGATGACAATCCCTCGAAGACCTCAGCCGTTGAGCTTCGGGTAGGCCTTGGTTTGTTGTAGGTCACCTAGAGATCTTTAGACCAATGACAGTCAGCATAAGTTTGAGGTTCTTGCACGGTCCAAGACCTCCTCGAGGTTTAGGGTTTAGGGTTTAGGGTTTAGGGTTTAGGGTTTAGGAATTAGGGTTTAGGGTTCAGGGTTAGGGTTTAGGGTTTATATAGGGGGAGGTGGGCGGGGGTTGGTGCGGTTCTCTTGATCAGGGCCTCTATTTTGGGGTGCCGATTAGGATACGCGAACCCTAAACCCCATCCTACTAAAACCCAGAAAGCACACAAACCCCATACACCCCATAAGTCCCCTTTGAACCCACAAGCCCAATAACATAAGCCCCCTAAGCTCAATATGGACCCTCTGAACCCCCTGTAAAGCCCAAAAACCTTTAGGGTTTAGGGGTTAACAAACTCTACAAACCCTATAAACCCCTCGAAACCCTGTACAAAAGTTCCCTCTAAACCCTAAACTCTAAGACCCTACATGTAAACCCCCGCCTCCTGCATACCGATGGCCGAGCAAACGCTTGAGCCAACTTTGGGTGCAACCGGAGGAGGGGGGGTGTCTGAGGCCTTGGCGTTTAGGGGGCTTAGGGTTTGAGGCATCTGGTTTAGGGTTTAGGGGTTTAGAATTGGGTTTTAGGGTTCGGGGTTGGGGTTTGGAGAAGAGGGGTAGGGCAACCTTCTCTAGAGCTGAATGCAGAAAAGTAAGCCGTCGCAAAAGCACGAGCATCTGCATGCCTTTTGCTGGACCTGCATGTCGTCTTTGCCCTCCACGATTGCGACCAAATCGCAGAGACCCGAGCCACCCACCAGTCGACTCGGGAGGTCTAGGGTTTAGGGTTTAGGGTTTAGGGTAGAGGGTTTAGGGGCTTCATGAAAATCC